TTTTTAACTTTCAGATTTAATTTTGTTTTAATTTGTATTTGTTTTGTTTTTTGGTACCAGGGATTGAACCCAAGGGCATTTAACTGCTGAGCACACATCCCGAGCCCTTTTTTTATTTTTTATTTTTTTTAAGGTAAGGTCTCACTAGTTTGCTTACAGCCTTGCTAAGTTGCTGAGGCTGGCTTTGAACTTGCACTCTTCCTGCCTCAGCCTTTTGAGCCACCGGGATTGCAGGCATGTGCCACTGTGCCCAGTTATAGTGTTGTTTTTAAATACCTTTTTCATTGCCAAATTTACATAGTTAAAATTAAAGAAAAAGAAGATGTTAAAAAACCACCCACATATCCCACCATCTAGATATAACTATAGTTAACATTCTGGTGCATGTGCACACACACACACACATACACTACATATGCAATCATAGCTATTACTGAGCACTTCTACAGCACCTCACTCTTTGGCTTTTCATATATAATATCCCACTTAACCTTCAACAATCTTGCAAAGAAGAGATTATTTGCATTTTACAGATGAGGAAAAGAGACTTGCAAGATTTGAGCAGGTGCTGGGCACGGCGGTGCACATCTGTAATCCCAGTTGCTCAGAAGGCTGAGGCAGGAGGATCTCAAGTTCAAGACCAGCCTCAGCAACTTAGTGAGGCTCTAAGCAACTTAGTGAGACCCTGCTCCATAAATGAAAAATAAAAAGGGCCAGGGATGTTGCTCAGTGGTTAAGCACCCCTGGGTTCAATCCGTTGTTAAAAAAAAAAAAAATTGAGCATGTATGTGACACAGTTTTTTGGTTTGTTTGTTTGTTTGTACAGGGATTAGATCCAGGGGCACTTTTCCACTGAGTTACATCCCCAGCCCTTTTTTTGGGAGGAGAGATGTACTGGGGATTGAACTCAGGGGCACTCGACCACTGAGCCACATCCCCAGCCCTATTTTATATCTTTTTTAGAGACAGGGTCTCACTGAGTTGCTTAGCACCTTGCCGTTGCTGAGGCTGGCTTTGAACTCTTGATCCTCCTGCCTCGGTCTCCCAAACTGCTGGGATTACAGGCGTGCACCACCACAGCCGGTGCCCTTTTTATTTTGAGACAAGATTTCTCCAAGTTGCTGAGACCCGCCTGAATTTGGAATAATCCTGCCTCGGCCCCGAGCTGCTAGGATTACAGGTGCAGGCCACCGTGCCCGGCTGTCAGATTTTAATTTTTGAAAACTTGCCCTGAGGATTTGTGTGGAATGGCTCGGAGGCCCTGTGAGGAATCAGTGGCTAGAGGGATGGTCTCGTGCAGATCCGATCAGGACCGTGGAGTGGGCGGCATGCATGCCTCTCCCCTTCCTATCAGGGACCCATTTCCTTTACCTGTGGAGAAGACAGAACCCTGTGAAAGACATGGAACTTTTGCCCATGTCACTCACACACCTGGAACAAATGACACAAGTCCAAGTTCTCTGAATG